TTTAGATTCAGGATAAATTGGTTTTATTTCAGTATAAACTGGTTAGATTCAGTATAAATTGGTTTTATTTCAGTATAAACTGGTTTAGATTCAGGATAAATGGTTTATTTCAGTATAACTGGTTAGATTCAGGATAACTGGTTTTATTTCAGTATAAACTGGTTTAGATTCAGGATAAATTGGTTTATTTCAGTATAAACTGGTTTAGATTCAGTATAAATTGGTTTTTTTCAGTATAACTGGTTAGATTCAGGATAAATTGGTTTTATTTCAGTATAAATTGGTTTAGATTCAGGATAAATTGGTTTAGATTCAGGATAAATTGGTTTAGATTCAGGATAAACTGGTTTTATTCAGTATAAACTGGTTTAGATTCAGGATAAATTGGTTTAGATTCAGGATAAACTGGTTTAGATTCAGGATAAATGGTTTTATTTCAGTATAAACTGGTTTAGATTCAGGATAAATTGGTTTTATTTCAGTATAAACTGGTTTAGATTCAGGATAAATTGGTTTTATTTCAGTTAACTGGTTTAGATTCAGGATAATTGGTTTTATTTCAGTATAAACTGGTTTAGATTCAGGATAAATTGGTTTTATTTCAGTATAAACTGGTTTAGATTCAGGATAAATTGGTTTTATTTCAGTATAAACTGGTTTAGATTCAGGATAAATTGGTTTTATTTCAGTATAAACTGGTTTAGATTCAGGATAAATTGGTTTTATTCAGTAAAACTGGTTTAGATTCAGGATAAATTGGTTTTATTTCAGTATAAACTGGTTTAGATTCAGGATAAATTGGTTTTATTTCAGTATAAACTGGTTTAGATTCAGTATAAATTGGTTTTATTTCAGTATAAATTGGTTTTATTTCAGTATAAACTGGTTTTATTTCAGTATAAACTGGTTTAGATTCAGTATAAATTGGTTTTATTCAGTATAAATTGGTTTAGATTCAGTATAAACTGGTTTAGATTCAGGATAAATTGGTTTTATTTCAGTATAAACTGGGTTAGATTCAGTATAAATTGGTTTTATTTCAGTATAAACTGGGTTAGATTCAGTATAAATTGGTTTTATTTCAGTATAAACTGGGTTAGATTCAGGATAAATTGGTTTTATTCAGTATAAACTGGTTTAGATTCAGGATAACTGGTTTAGATTCAGGATAAACTGGTTTTATTTCAGTATAAACTGGGTTAGGCTTCAGTTGAAACCGGTATAAACTGGTGTCTTACTGGGTCCCCACAGCATCTGGCACTGGTGTGCATGCTGGCGCACACTCCTCCGTAGCAGTAGGAGGCGCTGTCCTCGCAGGGCTCTCCGTTCTGCAGGAAGACGTGGGGGGCAGTGAGGGGAGGAGCCTGTGCAGAACTCAGGGAGGTCGCACTCTCCGAGTGGCTCGCGACACACCGACCCCGCCGTCCGCAGCTGAGGAGGGAGGGAGGGATGGTTGAATGTAAGTTTGACAGAAACATTAACGTGTGTGTGTCGCGTCAGGCTGACCTTGCAGTCGTGGCAGCAGATGCCGTCAGACGCACTGTGGGCTCCAGGAACCAGCTGACAGGTGGAGGCGTTACAGCAGGGGTCCTCACACTCCTGACCAATCAGAGCACAGCAACACATCACAAGGGAGAACAACAGGTAAACACGTCTGACTGGCATCCACAAGAAACCTGACTGGACAGTTTTTATGTTGTTACTGTGGAAAACACAAAGACGTGTCATCCTGAAAGCCCGGGAGCGTCTGGGCAGGCGAGTACCTCCATCAGGCCGCAGTCGCACTCCTCTCCTCTCTCCACGTACAGGTTCCCACAGCGAGGGCCTCCCAGCAGGCGGTCCGGCTGCGGTACGTTGAAGAGACACATACGCCGCCGTGCAGCAGGCTGACGGACAGATCTGCAGCGCTGCAGCTGCTGAACTGCTGACCCGGCATGAACCTGAGGGTCAGAGGTCACCGTTGGAACTTAATACATAATAAGTCAGTGGTTCAATACAAGAGGCTGGGACCCGGTGGTTTAATCCTGAGAACGCAGTTTATATTTGCTTTGTATATAAAATAAAGATAAGACTGACTGAGACTTTCTAAAAAGCCAGTTTCTTCTTCTGCGTCCACTCTACGCCGCAGCCTGACGCACACTTCCCCCAAAAATGCAACTACACGTCGCAGCGACGCAGGCCGCAAGAACTGTGATTGGTCTTCTTGGTGGCGTCACGTTTCCTCCTACGCATTTCCCGCTCATCTCTCTTCTTCTGCCTCAGCTGGTTCGAGGGTCGTACGCACCATCTCCTCCTTCGCCTTCTCCCGTTTCTGCGTTTTAGTAATTTCACTAAAAGTAACTTTTGTCCAACGTGATCTGCTCAGTTTCAGCCGCCTACACCAACGAAGAAGAAGAAGAAAACACAACACAGTGGAACATGGAAAACCCCACCGCCAACTAGAGTTTCGGCGACGTAACCGTAGAGCGACGCAAACACGTAGACTCAAGTATAAACTGGCCTTTACTCCACGACCGCTGAGACGTCTGACGGACGACTTTTCACCGCGCTCGTCCTCGGGAGCCACGGTCGCACTCGTTTATAACACGTGGAATTGCAGTTGTTTGTTGGTCTGAACTTGTGACAGCACTGCTCTGTGACTCAGTTAAATACTCTGCTACCGACCCGGTCGAGGGTTCCATGATGCATCCTCCGAGCCGCGGTTCGTTCTGACAGGAGCAGCGGCGCTCGGCGGTGTCGTGACTCATCCCCAGGTTGTGACCGAGCTCGTGAGCAACAGTGGAGGCGACGCCCAACACGCTGACCAGGTGGTCCTGAGAGAGAGAGAGAGAGAGAGAGAGAGAGAGAGAGAGAGAGAGAGAGAGAGAGAGAGAGAGAGAGAGAGAGAGAGAGAGAGGTTTAGAACAGCAGTTCATTTCTATCTTGTAGAGACTTTGAAATTCATCATAGTAATAATAATGATGATGGATTCTGAAAACAATCTTTATGGACCCCGGCACCTATTTCTAGGAAAAACGCCTAAATTAACATATCCTAAATAAATCAGTAATATCTCCTCAACCATTTGGCCTAGATGCATCATTCTGGTCTCCTTTGAAAGGTCAGAAGCTGAGGAATATAAATCCATCGTAGATTAACATATTTATTTCACCATTACAGACTACATGGATAGGAAATACAGAAAAATAATGATATTTTCATCCTCGTCTGGTAAAAAAAAGCTTTATTTTGATGCAATAAACCATCAAAACCATCCTAAGGTAGATTATAATGCACCTGAATATCTTCTAATACACCTAGAATACAACTGTAACTGTAAATTTGATGAAAAGAAACTAATATACAACAGTTATTACATAATCTTTCAAAAATACACCAGGTGAATGTCCATGTTTTGGCCATATTTACTATATATATATATATATATATATATATATATATAGTTTTCTTCAAAACATTATTTCTCTCCACACAACCACGTTCCAAATAACAAAGCTTCCAAAACATTGAAATATTGATACAAACAGTCAATATAAATGACCAAAAGCACTCCCACTTTACAGGCCCACAGCTTGAGAACAGAACATCCTGCAGGGCTGTGGTGGGCTCATTTTGTTCGTCTCAAAGAGACGATTTCAGGCATTTCTTGCATGTCTGTGTAGCTCGCTCCGTACGGGTCGCCAGCAGAGACCGATAAAGTTCACCTCCGCCAAATTACACTCTTCTCCTGCTCTCATACCTCGTGAAACAAACAAAACTTAAGACCGCAGCCGACCTCACCAAGATGGCGGCCTGCCAGACGATCTCTGTGGACACAAAGCGCCGCAGTTTCTGGACAGAAAACAGCTAGAACAGCAAAATCGATTACGTGCCCGATACCGGGTCAGTCCGTTCCCACTGCGTGAAGCTGATGTGAAGATTTTAAAAGTGTCGTTTTCCCATTTAAACATTTTCTTAAATGATCTGATGGACTGAGATTAATCGGCCAATAGGCTGATGGCTGCACTCAGGAGGTTGATATCTCATCCTACATGACAGCAGCTCGAATCTAACGCCATAAATATATAGAATAATGAAGTTAACCTCTGACCAGTGTTGAGCATTATTACTTTTCCCAGTAACTAGTAGTGTTAGGGATATTACAGTTACAAATCCAAGTAACGCTGCGATACAGAACGCAACATCCTTGATGCGAATGCACAAGTCAGACGATGTTCAGCTCAAGGCAGAATGGGGAAGGAGGGAGAGCCGTTATTTCCACACCATTTCACCATTACTAAGATGCAAAGAAAGTTGTCGTCCGTTGCAAACTTTGTGCGACCGCCAACAAGTCTACATCTGATTTACGGCAGAGAGACCTGCTTTATCGTTTCTTTTTTAATACATCCAGAGCCTGTTCTGCGCGGCACCATCTGGTCTGAGGCTGCAGTGTTTCAGTTCGGCTGCTTGTTGACGCCTCAGGTTCATTAATGTTCCAGTAAAGTGGATTCATTTCTAAAATGAGCTGCTGTCCGTCGCTCGTCAGAACAGAGTGACTTACACTTTGTTTTAGACCAATCAGGGTTCCTTTGGCTATGAATACTACAATACCCATAAACCCTCGCTGCTGTTGCCATGGAGAAGAAGCCAGTCAGTGAATCAGAACACAGGGATTTTAAAATGCTTCTTTGGTGTGAACAAAGTAAACTGAGATTATTGATCCTGGTTCCCTGCTGACTGAAAACTGTTTGGACCATAAATTCTGGTGGATCTAAACCGACAACCTCACACAGTCTCTGTCTCTGCGGAGTTTCCTGGTTATAAAACTCACCACGTTGACTCCACCCGACCGGTCTCTGGAGCACATGGACGACTGAGACGCCATCCCCACGGTGGTGCCGTCAAAAGACCCGCCCCTGTGAAATAAAAACGAACCCGTGACCGTCAGCCGGATCAGAACCTGAAGCTTTTATCCATATTAAACGTGGCTGTCCTCCTACATGACGAGCTGCGCGTTGTCGTGGCGAAGGCGCGGCAGCAGCTCTCTGGTTCTCCACTCCAGGAAATTGTTGAGGGTGTCGGTGGGACTCTTCTCCACCCGGATCTTATCCCGGTCGCTCCAGATCTCCAGACCGGTCAGCGCCACCCGGACGTTCAGAGGACGGTAGAACTGAAACAGACAGAAGAGAGGCGGTTCTTCCTCTGCAGCAGATTCACGGGGTTCACGGTTACCAGGGGAGGTCAGAGGACCCAGTTCTCACCCAGTCCACCTGGTTGGCCACGTCCAGCATGCGGTAGATGATGGTCTTATTGTTCTTCTGGTAATTCAGAAACTGAAAAACACAAATGTTTAAACGCACGTTAGG